TGGGGGGTCCTGAAGGGTCCCTGGGGGGTGTTTGGGTGGATTTTGGGGTCTTTTTTGGGATTTTGGGGGTGTTTGGGGGGATTTTGGGGTGTTTGGGTAAATTTTGGGGTGTTTTTTTTATTTTGGGGTGTTTTTTTGGATTTTGGGGTGTTTTTTGGGATTTTGGGGAGATTTTGGGGGTGTTTGGGTGGATTTTGGGGTGTTTTTTGGGATTTTGGGGGTTTTTGAGGGGAGTTTGGGGGTGTTTGGGTGGATTTCGGCGTGTTTGGTTGGATTTTGGGGGTGTTTGGGGAGATTTTGGGGTCTTTGGGGGGATTTGGGGTGTTTTTTTGGATTTTGGGGGTGTTTGGGTGGATTTTGGAGCCCCGCCCCCGCGCTGGCCCCGCCCCCGCGCTGGCCCCGCCCCCGCGCTGGCCCCGCCCCCGCGCTGGCCCCTCAGTGGGTGTGTCAGGGGGTGTGGCAGGGTTAGGTGGGTGTGTCAGAGTGGTGTGGGTGTGGCAGTGGGCGTGGCTCACCTGACGAACAGCACCTGCTGGGTGTGTCAGTGCAGGGTGGGTGTGTCAGTGGGTGTGTCAGGGGGTGTGGCAGGGTTAGGTGGGTGTGTCAGAGTGGTGTGGGTGTGGCAGTGGGCGTGGCTCACCTGACGAACAGCACCTGCTGGGTGTGTCAGTGCAGGGTGGGTGTGTCAGTGGGTGTGTCAGGGGGTGTGGCAGGGTTAGGTGGGTGTGTCAGAGTGGTGTGGGTGTGGCAGTGGGCGTGGCTCACCTGACGAACAGCACCTGCTGGGTGTGTCAGTGCAGGGTGGGTGTGTCAGTGGGTGTGTCAGGGGGTGTGGCAGGGTTAGGTGGGTGTGTCAGAGTGGTGTGGGTGTGGCAGTGGGCGTGGCTCACCTGACGAACAGCACCTGCTGGGTGTGTCAGTGCAGGGTGGGTGTGTCAGTGGGTGTGTCAGGGGGTGTGGCAGGGTTAGGTGGGTGTGTCAGAGTGGTGTGGGTGTGGCAGTGGGCGTGGCTCACCTGACGAACAGCACCTGCTGGGTGTGTCAGTGCAGGGTGGGTGTGTCAGTGGGTGTGTCAGGGGGTGTGGCAGGGTTAGGTGGGTGTGTCAGAGTGGTGTGGGTGTGGCAGTGGGCGTGGCTCACCTGACGAACAGCACCTGCTGGGTGTGTCAGTGCAGGGTGGGTGTGTCAGTGGGTGTGTCAGGGGGTGTGGCAGGGTTAGGTGGGTGTGTCAGAGTGGTGTGGGTGTGGCAGTGGGCGTGGCTCACCTGACGAACAGCACCTGCTGGGTGTGTCAGTGCAGGGTGGGTGTGTCAGTGGGTGTGTCAGGGGGTGTGGCAGGGTTAGGTGGGTGTGTCAGAGTGGTGTGGGTGTGGCAGTGGGCGTGGCTCACCTGACGAACAGCACCTGCTGGGTGTGTCAGTGCAGGGTGGGTGTGTCAGTGGGTGTGTCAGGGGGTGTGGCAGGGTTAGGTGGGTGTGTCAGAGTGGTGTGGGTGTGGCAGTGGGCGTGGCTCACCTGACGAACAGCACCTGCTGGGTGTGTCAGTGCAGGGTGGGTGTGTCAGTGGGTGTGTCAGGGGGTGTGGCAGGGTTAGGTGGGTGTGTCAGAGTGGTGTGGGTGTGGCAGTGGGCGTGGCTCACCTGACGAACAGCACCTGCTGGGTGTGTCAGTGCAGGGTGGGTGTGTCAGTGGGTGTGTCAGGGGGTGTGGCAGGGTTAGGTGGGTGTGTCAGAGTGGTGTGGGTGTGGCAGTGGGCGTGGCTCACCTGACGAACAGCACCTGCTGGGTGTGTCAGTGCAGGGTGGGTGTGTCAGTGGGTGTGTCAGGGGGTGTGGCAGGGTTAGGTGGGTGTGTCAGAGTGGTGTGGGTGTGGCAGTGGGCGTGGCTCACCTGACGAACAGCACCTGCTGGGTGTGTCAGTGCAGGGTGGGTGTGTCAGTGGGTGTGTCAGGGGGTGTGGCAGGGTTAGGTGGGTGTGTCAGAGTGGTGTGGGTGTGGCAGTGGGCGTGGCTCACCTGACGAACAGCACCTGCTGGGTGTGTCAGTGCAGGGTGGGTGTGTCAGTGGGTGTGTCAGGGGGTGTGGCAGGGTTAGGTGGGTGTGTCAGAGTGGTGTGGGTGTGGCAGTGGGCGTGGCTCACCTGACGAACAGCACCTGCTGGGTGTGTCAGTGCAGGGTGGGTGTGTCAGTGGGTGTGTCAGGGGGTGTGGCAGGGTTAGGTGGGTGTGTCAGAGTGGTGTGGGTGTGGCAGTGGGCGTGGCTCACCTGACGAACAGCACCTGCTGGGTGTGTCAGTGCAGGGTGGGTGTGTCAGTGGGTGTGTCAGGGGGTGTGGCAGGGTTAGGTGGGTGTGTCAGAGTGGTGTGGGTGTGGCAGTGGGCGTGGCTCACCTGACGAACAGCACCTGCTGGGTGTGTCAGTGCAGGGTGGGTGTGTCAGTGGGTGTGTCAGGGGGTGTGGCAGGGTTAGGTGGGTGTGTCAGAGTGGTGTGGGTGTGGCAGTGGGCGTGGCTCACCTGACGAACAGCACCTGCTGGGTGTGTCAGTGCAGGGTGGGTGTGTCAGTGGGTGTGTCAGGGGGTGTGGCAGGGTTAGGTGGGTGTGTCAGAGTGGTGTGGGTGTGGCAGTGGGCGTGGCTCACCTGACGAACAGCACCTGCTGGGTGTGTCAGTGCAGGGTGGGTGTGTCAGTGGGTGTGTCAGGGGGTGTGGCAGGGTTAGGTGGGTGTGTCAGAGTGGTGTGGGTGTGGCAGTGGGCGTGGCTCACCTGACGAACAGCACCTGCTGGGTGTGTCAGTGCAGGGTGGGTGTGTCAGTGGGTGTGTCAGGGGGTGTGGCAGGGTTAGGTGGGTGTGTCAGAGTGGTGTGGGTGTGGCAGTGGGCGTGGCTCACCTGACGAACAGCACCTGCTGGGTGTGTCAGTGCAGGGTGGGTGTGTCAGTGGGTGTGTCAGGGGGTGTGGCAGGGTTAGGTGGGTGTGTCAGAGTGGTGTGGGTGTGGCAGTGGGCGTGGCTCACCTGACGAACAGCACCTGCTGGGTGTGTCAGTGCAGGGTGGGTGTGTCAGTGGGTGTGTCAGGGGGTGTGGCAGGGTTAGGTGGGTGTGTCAGAGTGGTGTGGGTGTGGCAGTGGGCGTGGCTCACCTGACGAACAGCACCTGCTGGGTGTGTCAGTGCAGGGTGGGTGTGTCAGTGGGTGTGTCAGGGGGTGTGGCAGGGTTAGGTGGGTGTGTCAGAGTGGTGTGGGTGTGGCAGTGGGCGTGGCTCACCTGACGAACAGCACCTGCTGGGTGTGTCAGTGCAGGGTGGGTGTGTCAGTGGGTGTGTCAGGGGGTGTGGCAGGGTTAGGTGGGTGTGTCAGAGTGGTGTGGGTGTGGCAGTGGGCGTGGCTCACCTGACGAACAGCACCTGCTGGGTGTGTCAGTGCAGGGTGGGTGTGTCAGTGGGTGTGTCAGGGGGTGTGGCAGGGTTAGGTGGGTGTGTCAGAGTGGTGTGGGTGTGGCAGTGGGCGTGGCTCACCTGACGAACAGCACCTGCTGGGTGTGTCAGTGCAGGGTGGGTGTGTCAGTGGGTGTGTCAGGGGGTGTGGCAGGGTTAGGTGGGTGTGTCAGAGTGGTGTGGGTGTGGCAGTGGGCGTGGCTCACCTGACGAACAGCACCTGCTGGGTGTGTCAGTGCAGGGTGGGTGTGTCAGTGGGTGTGTCAGGGGGTGTGGCAGGGTTAGGTGGGTGTGTCAGAGTGGTGTGGGTGTGGCAGTGGGCGTGGCTCACCTGACGAACAGCACCTGCTGGGTGTGTCAGTGCAGGGTGGGTGTGTCAGTGGGTGTGTCAGGGGGTGTGGCAGGGTTAGGTGGGTGTGTCAGAGTGGTGTGGGTGTGGCAGTGGGCGTGGCTCACCTGACGAACAGCACCTGCTGGGTGTGTCAGTGCAGGGTGGGTGTGTCAGTGGGTGTGTCAGGGGGTGTGGCAGGGTTAGGTGGGTGTGTCAGAGTGGTGTGGGTGTGGCAGTGGGCGTGGCTCACCTGACGAACAGCACCTGCTGGGTGTGTCAGTGCAGGGTGGGTGTGTCAGTGGGTGTGTCAGGGGGTGTGGCAGGGTTAGGTGGGTGTGTCAGAGTGGTGTGGGTGTGGCAGTGGGCGTGGCTCACCTGACGAACAGCACCTGCTGGGTGTGTCAGTGCAGGGTGGGTGTGTCAGTGGGTGTGTCAGGGGGTGTGGCAGGGTTAGGTGGGTGTGTCAGAGTGGTGTGGGTGTGGCAGTGGGCGTGGCTCACCTGACGAACAGCACCTGCTGGGTGTGTCAGTGCAGGGTGGGTGTGTCAGTGGGTGTGTCAGGGGGTGTGGCAGGGTTAGGTGGGTGTGTCAGAGTGGTGTGGGTGTGGCAGTGGGCGTGGCTCACCTGACGAACAGCACCTGCTGGGTGTGTCAGTGCAGGGTGGGTGTGTCAGTGGGTGTGTCAGGGGGTGTGGCAGGGTTAGGTGGGTGTGTCAGAGTGGTGTGGGTGTGGCAGTGGGCGTGGCTCACCTGACGAACAGCACCTGCTGGGTGTGTCAGTGCAGGGTGGGTGTGTCAGTGGGTGTGTCAGGGGGTGTGGCAGGGTTAGGTGGGTGTGTCAGAGTGGTGTGGGTGTGGCAGTGGGCGTGGCTCACCTGACGAACAGCACCTGCTGGGTGTGTCAGTGCAGGGTGGGTGTGTCAGTGGGTGTGTCAGGGGGTGTGGCAGGGTTAGGTGGGTGTGTCAGAGTGGTGTGGGTGTGGCAGTGGGCGTGGCTCACCTGACGAACAGCACCTGCTGGGTGTGTCAGTGCAGGGTGGGTGTGTCAGTGGGTGTGTCAGGGGGTGTGGCAGGGTTAGGTGGGGGTGTCAGTGGGTGGGGCTCACCTGACGAACAGCACCTGCTGGGCGGGGCGGGGCGTGTCCCGCTGGGCCTCGGCCGCCAGCGCCTCGGCGCGCTGCTCCAGCAGCTTCATCTCGTCCAGGCCGCTCTGCCCCGGGGCCAGGTCTGACACTGCAGGGTGGGGGGCATGGTCAGGGGGCTGGGGACCCCCAGGACCCCCCACAGCCCCTGGGACCCTCCCCATGGCATCCCCAGGTGTTCCCATCCCCCTCCCTCCTGTTGTCACCTGTGCTCCCCCTGCCCCGGTGCCACCCCCCTCACCTGTGTCACTGCCCCCATGGGCTGCTCCCCAACCTGTGCCCCTCACCTGTGCCCTCCCCATGCCCCCCACCTGTACTCACACCTGTACCCTCACCTGTACCCTCATCTTTACCCTCCCTGTGCCCCTCACCTGTGCCCTCATCTGTGCCCTCCCCATGCCCCCCACCTGTACTCTCACACCTGTACCCTCACCTTTACCCTCCCTGTGCCCTCACCTGTACCCTCACCTGTGCCCTCATCTGTGCCCTCCCCATGCCCCTCACCAGAATCCCCTCACCTGTGCCCTCACCTTTACTCTCACCTGTGCCCTCACCTGTGCCACCCTCCCCGTGCCCTGTCCATGCCCTGCTCTGTGCCCCTCCCCTGCATCACTCCCCCTGTGCTGTACCTGTGCCCTCCCTTTGCCCCTCACCTGTACCCCCCATGCTGTACCTGTGCCCTCACCTGTGCCCTCCTGGTGCCCCACCTGTGCCCCAATGCCATACCTGTCCCCCCCATGCCGTACCTGTCCCCCCGTGCCGTACCTGTCCCCCCGTGCCGTACCTGTGCCGGTGGCGCTGCCCGACACCTTGAGCATCTGCGAGGCCATGAAGTTCACCTGGGTGTTGTAGGTGGCCTGCACGCTGCGCTTGATGCGCAGCATCTCCCGGATGGTGTCCTCGTTGCCGTGGGAGCAGAGGGTTAATGAGGAGCCGGCGCTAATTGAGCAGCGCTGCATTGACGCAGGGACACGGTGATGCTCCAGGAGGAGCGGTGATACAGGAGCAGGAGCTGACAGCAAAAAAACTCGGGAAAAAGAGAGACTGAACCCAGTGAGAGCCCTCTGAGAGATTCCCACCCTGGAAGGGGACAGCGCTTCAGGTGCCCCAGCCCAGGGTCAGCCCTGCTGCTCTCCCTGGGGTGATGGGGACAGAGCCCGGAGCACCCCCGGGCACAGCTCCGAGCCTGGAGCAGCCCTGGCTGCGGGGACATTGCCACCTCTCCTTGCAGGGCTCATTTTTCACCTGAAAAGCAAAGAGGAAAAGAAGCTGAAATGTTCCCTCTGTTTCCAACCCACCCTCTCTGCCTGTTCCACACCAGACAGGGTGGACAAAAGAGAGCTTTTCCAGCCCCTTGTGTCCCTCTCCTTTGCTCTCCTCTGCACATGCAGCTCCTGACAGAGCCTGGAGAGACGGGACAGTGGGGACAGGGATGGGGACAGGGACAGGGATGGGAACGGGGACAGGGATGGGGATGGAGACAGGGATAGGGATGGGAACAGGGATGGGAACAGGGATAGAGATGGGGACAGGGATGGGAACAGGGATAGAGATGGGGACAGGGATGGTGACAGGGATAGGGATGGGGACAGGGACAGAGGGGACAGGGACACAGGGGACAGGGACACAGGGATAGGGACAGAGGGGACAGGGACACGGGGACAGGAACACAGGGATAGGGACAGAGGGGACAGGGACACGGGGACAGGGACAGAGGGGACAGGGACACGGACACGGGGACACACAGGGGACAGGGACACAGGGACAGGGACAGAGGGGACAGGGGGACAGACAGGGGACAGAGAGGGACAGAGGGGACAGGGACACGGGGACACGGGGACAGGGACACAGGGGACACGGGGACAGGGACAGAGGGGACAGGGACACAGGGGACACGGGGACAGAGGGGACAGGGACACGGGGACACAGGAACACGGGGACAGACAGGGGACACAGACACGGGGACACAGGACACGGGACAGAGGGGACACAAGGGACAGGGACACGGGGACAGGGACACAGGGACATGGGAACAGGGGACAGGGGGGACATAGGGACAGGGACACAGGACAGAGGGACAGAGGGGGACAGAGACACAGAGGACAGAGGGCACACGAGGAACAGAGGAGACACAGGGACATGGGACAGACAGGGCACACGGGACACGGGACAGGGACACAGAGACACAGGACACAGAGGGGACACGGGGACAGACGGGACACAAGGGACAGGGACAGCCAGGGGACAGGAATGGGACAGACAGGGACAGGAGGGGAGAGGGAGAGATGGGAACAGGGACAGGGAGGAGACAGGGTGAGGGACAGCCAAGGGACAGGGACAGGTGAGAGAACAGGGACACAGAGGGGACATTGAGGGGACAGTGAGGAGACAGGGACAAGACACAGGGACAAGGAGGGGACAGTGAGGGGACAGACAGGGACAAGGAACAGGGAGGGGACAGGGACACCTGTCCCGGCATCCCCTGGCCCCCTCTACCTGCCATGTCCCCAGTGTCGAGGGGACATTGAGGGGACAGTGAGGAGACAGGGACAAGACACAGGGACAAGGAGGGGACAGTGAGGGGACAGACAGGGACAAGGAACAGGGAGGGGACAGGGACACCTGTCCCGGCATCCCCTGGCCCCCTCTACCTGCCATGTCCCCAGTGTCCCCTGCGTCCCCAGTATCCCCGTCCCCAATGTCCCCAGTGTCCCCTCCATTAACAATGTTCCCCCATATCCCCGAAGTCCCAAGTGTCCCACATGTCCCCAAGGTGCC